ACCCGTGGCCTTGGTGTTAGCAGCACCGCACTCTACCGAGTGAGCCACAGGCCGGCCCAAGTGTTTCACTTTTTAAAAAGACATTTATTCTTGCTTCACCAGTACTGATTTTTTCCCCTTGGTATTCTTGTTCATTTGCTGCCATAAACTTCTACCTAAAACAAAACCACCCAAGCTACCAAACTGTCAAACTATGACGAATTAAGGTATTTTTAGGAGCTAGCTTTTTTGGTTATTGTTTTTTACTTTTAAATAAACACTAATGCTCTCTCTATACAGTTTTTCCCAGAGAGAACAATGGCTTAACATCCCAAAGAGAAGAAAAAGGGAAGTTACTGAATGTGGTGTAGTTAAGACAAGGTTCATCAAATGGGACCACTTTCAAAGATACTGCCCTTCATTATACAGAAATTTTGTAAATGAAATAATAAAATAGTGTCCTTTAATAAATAAAAAAAATATTGCATCTGTACTATCTAAACAATTCTTACCATGAAAATTTGACCTGAAACTAAAATTCTTGATTAGGATGCAGAAAAATTTAGGCTTGTGAGTCTAACTACCCTTTCAAAGCAATTCCAAAAACTGCTCTTTAAGAGTAATTAGCACAAAAAAACACCAAGGCTGATTTTAGGCTGCTGGCACCCAACAATAAGAAAAGATTTAGTAATAGTTTAAATTAAGCTAGATCAACTTATTCCAAACAACCACAAAGTCCACTCTTTTAGATGTACCATTAATGCTTTTGAGAAGTTACCTTCATGGGTAACTTCTCAAAAGAATATGAGAACAACTTCATTCAATAAGCATTTCATCACACACCCACTATATACTAGGCACTGTACCACTAGCTAGAAACAGAAAAACAGTAATTGAAGGACTTATTCCAATTTATCATCAAATCTAATCAACTCTGAAAGACAGTTTTTAGTACTTATGGGAATGCCTTGGCTCTCAAGTACTCATTTAGAATGGCTGTCATAATAATTTTTAATGTTGTTGGGTTTAGAGGTTTTTTTGCAGTGGTAATTCAATTCAATTTTTTTTCTTTTTTTACCTTCATTAGCCTCTGGCCTTGAATTCTTGATATATGCAGAGAATTTGGCAAAGATGTCCATTCCAGCAGTATTTGATTCTGGGTGTTTTGGTGAAAGCTTTAAGTACCTAAATAGAAAAGTTGATAATGGATTATAGATCCTTCAAAATTGTATTAGCATGAGTTCTGTCAATCAACAAGCCATTGTACTAGCAGTTACTAGACATTCTAAGTTATTACTTTAAGAAATCCCATCATCTGTTTTCTATGATATTTTCAAAATGTGTTTTTTCCTTAGGAAACAAAGCTCTGCATGGTGTTTCTGTACACATATTAATATTCTTGGCAATCAAAAGGCATCCCACATTCCACCTCCATTTGATAAATTAGAATGGTGGGGAAAAAGTCAACTTGTTCAGAAACTTGTGCCAGGCCAACATGCATCTTAGAATAAGATCGCTAGAGCAGCACTGCCTAAGAGAACTTTCTGTGATGAAGCAAACGTTCTTTATCTTTATTGCCCAATATGGTAGCCATTAGTGCCATGTAGCTATTTGAATATGAATTTAATTCAATCACAATAAAATTAAAAATTAGCTTCCTTAGTTGCACTAGTCACATTTCAAGCACTCAACAGTCACTACACTGCACAGCTCTAGAGCATTCTCAAATAGCAGTGCCAACCAGATCCTTAGTATGCCACGCACTGAACTAGCCCTGTGCAATGTACCAGAGAACCTTGACAGCGGGAGAAGAGCTTAGGCTGGTCAAGCATCTTGATCATACACAGCTTAAGGACAAAACAGGAGGAGGCAGATCATTCACTTCAGACCTACACCTGGTATTTTCCAAAACCTCCCATATATTAAATATTCCATAGTATACTTCTGAGGGTAGCAATGAGCAACAGAAAAATAAGCTGCCAGAAATTATACTGAGGGACGTTCTGTTGTATTGTTACAAAGTTTTTCTACTTTAAGTACAGATATGACATACCAGCTTTTTAAAAAATATACACATACAAATGTGTATTTTTACATAGTTAGATTTCAAACACACATACTAAGTATACATTTCTTCCTCACACTGGAAACCACATGTGATAAAACTCAGCTATTCATCTTCCCTTCAACAGGGCTTGCATCAGCCCCAGGGAGTCAAGGCTAGAGGAATTCAGATTCTTAGCCCAATTTTAGGGAAGACTAATCGGCTTGAAGGTCCTACAAAATGTCACTGGAAAATGGACTTGAGGACAGTAAGACTTTAGAAAAATAGCTCACATTGAATTAGTTATTTTGATTTATTCATCTATTTGAAGACACTGTCTTGCCAGTTTTCTTTAAATTAAAAATGAAGGTGAGGTAGTTTTTGAAAGAAATTGAGTTCAGTTGCAAGCTGAGTTTCAATTTAGTTTTTATATTCATATTTCTTCTGTTTATTATGTTGAATTCAGGGAGAAATATATCTTCTAAAAATTTAGTATCATACTATATTGATAAGGAGGACACAAAATATCTATTGAACACCTTAAATGATCAAGCTATCTTTCTTTTTAATAGGTCTACCTAATCTCTAAATAGCTCTCAATTTGTAATCTTAAAGATTTCTCTTATAAACACAATTATTTACATACAGTTTTTCAGTAAACAATTATAGTGAATGAATTCCACCAGAGTTTTATATATGTGTGTATATATATTTCCCCCTCCTATCTATAGAACACTTTATTCTCATTCTCTCACTCCCCCTCCCTACCCCATACTGAGCTGAAACAGTTAATCCCAGGACCAACATCCTTGGATTTCTCTTGACTGTAAAAACAACCAGCCTCCAGTTTAAATGTTTCCACCACTTGCAATACAGGCCTTTCATTGACTCATTTCAAACAAAAAATAGTACAGGGAACATAAGTGCCTCTTTAATACATCTATGTCTTCTTCTAGCCAAGTTTTCAAAATTCCTCTTCCCCAACCAGTATTTAGCTGTACCTACTTTTTCTAATGAAGTAAACCTCATAATTCTCAAAATAACTTACAGGAAAGCAAGCTTGAATTACAGATCATTTATCTATTCATTATTCACACAACACTCATTTATCTTATAATTATTGAGTATATTCTATGTGCCAGGCATTGTACTAAGTACTAGGGATGTAATGATAAGCTTACAGAAACATATTTACTACTTTTAAAATACACAAAAGCTCCAACCAGACATCTATTTTGGTGAATGAAGGCGGACTTGCAATCAGCATATCCTCATTCATATAGAAATAGATCCTGGCCGGCCCGGTGGCGCACTGGATAAGTGCGCCGCTTGAGAAGCGCCGCGGCGCTCCCGCCCGAGGGTTCGGATCCCACATACAGACCGGTTCCCACTCACTGGCTGAGTGAGGCGCGGGAGCAGCACCGAGGGTTGCAATCCCGTTGCCGGTCCCCGGTCCGGTACGGGGGCAACACTGAGGGTTGCGATCCGTTGCCGGACACGGAAAAAGACAAAAGACAAAAAAAAAAAAAAGAAAGAAATAGATCCTATTAAAATTCTGAAAAAACACTGTTCTCTAAAGCAGGTTAAACATGCCCTATTCTCCCTCTCTGAGACAAATTATGAAATTTCTCCTATTAATTTAATGCATAGAATACTATAGCTACTGGAGACCATTCACCCCAAATCTCTCATTTTGCCTAAAAGGAAATTATGTTCCAGAAAGCTTACATACTTGCTCCAAAATCACTCAACTACATAGTTAAAAGTATCGACAAACTAAAAACTAAGATTTCTGTCCCCAGGTCCAATGCATTTTTTTTCTATTACAGATCAGATTCTCTCTAAAAGATAAATTCTAAATAAGCAGGTCCAAAATCAGTTGTCACCTTTTTTTGCATCTCTACTAAACATTAGATCTTAATGTATTCATTATTATTAGTTTTAACAAACAGCTTGATCAAGCAATGATTTTCAATTATTGTGACCACCCATTTTAATATTTAACAAAAGAGAGGCAAATAATTCATAAAAATCTGTGTCAATGATAGAACAGATATGAGCACTCCTTTCAGGTCAGTCCTTTATTATATATTACATCAAAAAGTGGCAGACTAAGAATATTTTTATTCTCTTAGGAAAGATCTCAGACATTTTCTCCTTTCTCATGTCAACGTAAGAATAAAGACTGGTTAAATAGATTAAATTATCCTTGTAAATGCTTTCATTGTATTTCTCATTTTAAAAAATTTATCTAGCTTCCTTCTATTCTATCTTTTATCAGTAAGTGAGCCAAGTACACAGGAATGCTTCAGTTAAAAATCCAAGTTTCAAAGCTTTTTGGCAAAGTGATTCCTTCATTCAAGCAAGAGGAACTAAAAAAAAAAAAAAAAAAACCAAAACTTTATCTAGCTTCCTTCTATTCTATCTTTTATCAGTAAGTGAGCCAAGTACACAGGAATGCTCAGTTAAAAATCCAAGTTTCAAAGCTTTTTGGCAAAGTGATTCCTTCATTCAAGCAAGAGGAACTAAAAAAAAAAAACAAACAAAAAAAAAAAACCAAAATAAGAGGAACAAAAAAAAAAAAAAAAAAACCAAAACGCTTTCCCCAGAAGAGAAGATAAAGTTTACTTTAAAACTTATAGGTACATACAGCAGCAAAAGTTCTTTGATTTAAGCTTTCCATTAGTCTCTAAGTTTTAAACAACTCTAGAGTAGACAATTGCCTGTATTTATACTTGTCGTGACTAAATCAGGAAGCATTCACATAAAAACACTCTGTTCTCAGTGTTATCAAATGTCAAAACATATTATTAGAAATGGTAGATTCTGGGCTACCAGCTTGCACTCCTCATCCTATCAAGAAACAAGGCTCACAGTAAAGCAGGAGGAAGAGCAGGGGCAGTTAAAGACATGGACACCTCCTTGTCCTACAGGGAAAAGGCAGTGAGCCAGGATGGTCCCTGAGTGCCCTAGAACAATATAGAACAGAGGAAAGGAAAAGGAATGCAGGTGTTGCTCCCAGAAACACCTCCTCCTCCCACTCATTCCCTAGAAACAATTCGAATGACAGAGATTATACTGTTTGACCAGCATTTCATGGGTTGCAGAGTCCCCTAAAGGGAAGATACTCTCAATCCAAAAATGCTATTTCAATGCATATAAATAAATAGAACTTCATCACCTACTTCCCAGCTCTGCCACCATCAAGTATGAAATCTTAAATTATTTGGATTACTCATTTTCAGTTTCTTCATAAAGTCTTTGTGAGTATTAACTGAGATAATCCACAAAATAATCCACAAAGCATAGTGCATGGCACATAATTATCACCTGAGTATTATTAATAGCAGAAGCATTAGCAGCATCAAAAATAATCCCTTCTATATAAAGTGAAATTTTAAAACTTTATTTAGAAACTTTCTTCATAATATAAACTACAACACAAAACAAGGAAAATACTTCCAGAAAAAAATTTAGCACAGTGTGAACATTTTATAACAGAAAGAGTTACAAGTGTTTAAACTGAAAGAAAAGACCATCTCTGGTTAGAGTGCCTCTAAGAATATGTGCAAATAAAATAGGGCTGAAATGTCCATATGAAAAAGCAAGTGAAAATGTTTATTTTCACAGTTCAATTAAAAGCTGCAATGTCGGATCATTCTGGGTCACTTCCTCTTGGAACATCGTGTGTTCTTGCAGTTTATTTTAATAATTTTTCTTAAATAATATATTCAGATTTGTTCTGTTTCAAAAAAAAGCTGCAATGTCCTACAGAGCACTAGATGCCAAAAAAAACAGGATATTCTGATATTAGCTCTACTATTTCTCTTAATGTCTATTCCCTCAAAGAGAAATAACAAGAAGGAATAATGAACATTCTTGATTTTTTGTTGATGTTGAAGAAGGCGAGAAGAGAATGACAAAATGTCCATTTCACTAACGTGGTATACATGTTATCTGCACACTGATTTCAAAATACAGTTTCCTTCACAGAGAATGAATAAGTCATTCAAACTGCTTCTCTATAATTTAAAATTGATAGAATGAGCTACAGTTACATGAGAAGACGATCACTTTCAACTGGTTTCTCAGGACAAGTTGTCAAATATGGAACTTTCCTCAGAGTTGACAGACAAGTGTAAGAAGGGATCTAGTAGGTTCTATGAGGCAACAATCTTTCAGAAGTTATTTCCACTAAGTTGAATGCATAGTCATAATAGTTCCTTACTGATGTGTATAATGCTTCAATTTGTATTTCACAAAGATTATTCGTATTCTAATAATATGCATAACCTGGAGGGAAAATCAATATATAGTTTATTAACGTTGGTCTGAAGATACTTTAAGGGGAATGAAAGGAAGGTGAGAACTTTTAATTAAGATTTAAAAGTATTAAGAAAATGAAATTTTAGGCTTAGCACAAGATGCCAACCAGAGAGCAATTCTGTTCACAACGAACGATGGGCTAGTTGTAGACAGAGACACTGTTACTCATATTTCTCATAGCAGCCTTCCTGCCTGCCATCCCTAACCCTGCATACCATGCGCTAGCCACTCCTCCAGGTCCCCAAAACAAACACTATATATTCAAAATAACTCTTTTGCCCTGGAATGCCTGTCACTCCTTCATTCACCTGCTGAATGCCACTTTTTTTTTTTTTTTTAATTAAGGCTTAGTTCAAAGTGTTGCCTCTTCTCTAAATTAGCCCTTCTTGATTCCACTCACTTTTACACGCACACACCCGCCCTCCACCCATATTTGACTATGTTTGTTGAGAGCAGGAACTATATCTTATTCGCTATTGTATCCATAGTGCTTGGTTGCCCAGTAATTGCAGAATTAATAATGAATGAATATCAAGTAATTATTTTAGAGCCCTCTGACCCAATAATCCCATTCCCGGGAAAGTTATCTGGACATGGTGGGTAAAAGTCAAGTTAACTAGCAAGAAAGGCTTGGGTCAGAGGAAAAGAAACATGTCAGTTTTCAGGATAATAAAACTGGAAAAGCCTAAAAGCAACCAATAATGCTTTGAACCTATGCCAAGATTACAGTATGATACAAAACTGCATGTTTGCATTTTAGGTAACTATCATTACAGTACAATACAGGACCAGGAGATCTAGAACACCTAAAAAAAAAAAAATGAGAATAAAAATTCTGAATCCCAGAGACACAGTCTGAAAAGTCAATTCCCCTTGGACCATAGCTTCAGAAAGTTACCTTTAAAATGGACTGAGAAAAGAAAAAAATAAAATAAAATAAAATGGGCTGAGAGCAAATCCCATAGCAGCATGGACTTCACTCCTGCTTAGACATCCTGGCTAGGTTCAGTTGAAGTCTATCTTTCCCTATCCCTTCTCCTCCCTAAACTTCTCTCTTAGTTTGGGACCTATAGCCCACAAATAACCAGTCTTTCCTGACCTATCTCACATATCCCAAACCTGCTTTTACCACATACTCTACAGCTTAGACAGAGTCTCACCTTTCTTAGTATGGATTACTGGACTAGTCAGAAGCCAATTCTGACATCTAGGGAGCAGTTAATTAGAAGTAACTGAGAAGAGAATCCTAGTCATTCCAAATTAATGCTATGAGAATTTAACTTAAGTTCTATCGGGAGAAAGATCTCTCAGGACAAATAAGACAAAGCTTCAAAGACATGGTAATATTTCAGCATATTTTCTTTGATACTCACTTGGGAGGGCATAAGACTTCTTCAAGAAATTCCTCAATCTTATTTACATCCGTTTTGACTTCATTGTTAAAAGTTATAAATGGCGGGTGGGTCCCAGGAGCCAAGTTCTGCAGGTCTGCAGGCTTCCTGTTAGGCAAAATAGTGGTCAAAATCAGATCATTTTTCACTTTAAGAAGGCAATGATACTTTAAATTCTGAGAATGGCTCTAAATTTTAAATTATATAAAAATGAATAAGAAATAGTATTTTTTCAACTAAGTATAACAAGCTCCAATAGTATTCTAATAAGAAGCAAACCTCTACAAAGCATATTTATGGTAAGAAAATTAAAGCCTTTGATCTTTTAACCAAAAAACAAAGTCCCTCATTCTCATTCCAAATTTAACTAAGGTGCGTATTAGACACGGTGCAGAAGGAGGGGGGAACAAGACTTAGGAAAGTCAGTCTCTGGTTTCAACTCTGATGCCAACTAATTGTATAAAGAAGAATAAGCCATAATTTCTCCAGGCCTTCATTTTTTATGTTTTGTAAAATAAAGGAAAGAGCAACTGATTCTTGCAGTCCCTTTCAAGTACCAGATTCCAAATTCTGGTGCTCCCTCTTTTCCATTTGCACAGATTTAACAAGGAAAAAGATCACCAGATTAGACTAATATCAAAGTTACTTCAATATATAAAAGGTTGCTGGGCCGGCCCGGTGGCGCACTGCTACAGTGTGCCGCTTGGGAGTGCGGTGGTGCTCCCGCTGAGGGTTCGGATCCCACATACAGACCAGTTCCCGCTCACTGGCTGAGCGAGGTGTGGGAGCAACACCGAGGGTTGCGATCCCGTTGCCGGTCCCGGTCCGGTATGGGCGCGACACTGAGGGTTGCGATCCGTTGCCGGACAGGAAAAAAGACAAAAAAAAAAATATATATATATATATATATAAAAGGTTGCATAACCAAAGGTAAAAGGCAACACAGAATGGAAAATATTATAGTGCGTCAGAAAGGCTTAAAATCTATATTATGTAAGGATTTTGTCCAAATTAACTTTAAAAGTCATCAAAAAATCAAATAGATATGAGTCAAAAGAAATTGATAGGAGTAGATAAAACAAGTGAACACATGGAAAAATGTCAAATATCACAAATATCAAAGGAATCCAAAACTGAACAATGAAAACATTTTCCTCCTATCAATTAGGAAAAACTGAAAATATCACAAGACACTGATAAAGATGGTACAACCGTTATGCTTACAACTACTAATACCAAGAAATGTTAGTACTGCCCGATTAAAAAGCAAAATGGCTCACCCGAGCCCACCAATCTTAGAATCAATGAAAGAAATGACCAGATATGTTGTAATGATAAAATATAAAACATATAGCACCATGAAGTATTCTAACCCAAAAAATTAACCCTGAATCTAAACAAGCCTTTGGGGAAGCTTTTTCTCAAAGTGTGATCCAGAGGCCCTTTCGCCAGGTGGTCCTTGAGGTCAAAACTATTCTCATGATACTAAGCCATTATTAGCCTTTTTCACTCTCATTCTCTCATGCATATAGAGTGGAGTTTTCCAAAATTACTTGGCTATTTGGTGTACGACATCACAAGTTAGTAAATACAGAAGCAGACATGAGAAGTCTATTTTTTTATTAAGGCAGACAATAAAGATATACAAAATGTAAAACAATGTCACTCTTCTCACTGTTTTTACAATGTCACTCTTCTCACTGTTTTTTTCTGTTTGTTTTGGAAAACAGTTATTTTCTGTTAAAAATATGTTTTTCTGATAACAAGTAATGGGTTCATTATTGTTCAATTTAAATGAATTAGTAAATAAATATTTTTTAAACTTCTCAGCTTTAATTTTTAATACAGTAAAATTGATAGATACAACCCACATAACTGAAAGTTCTTTGAGTTCCCCAATAATATAAAAGCACAAACGGGTCCTGAGACCAAGAAGTTCATTAACAAGAAATAGTGGGAAGGGGATTTAGGGGAAAAAGTTAAATGACACCACAAGGAAGCAACCAGCTAAATTCTGGATTTGGGACAATCTTCAATTCAACAGACTGGATTTCTACATGTCAATGGCATGGGGGACGAAATACAAGCTGGGGCTAGAAGGGATGGATGTAGGTTAAGAAAAATTTAAGAGATATAACAACCAAATTATTATAATAAGTACAATTTGTTTGGATCCTGATTTAAACAAACCAGCCAAAGATGAAAAGATATTCTGGAGATAACCAGGAAAATTGGATTATATAATAGGAAGTGGGCATAATGGCATTGTGGTTAGGTGAGAAAATGTGCATATTGTTTGGAGACATACACCACTGAAGTAGGGGAGAAATTATATGATGCCCATGATTTGCTTTAAAACATTTCAGCAAAGAAAATAAGAAAAAAAGGGAAAAAGCAAATGTGGCAAAATCTTGATAACTGAATTAGGGTTATGGAAAGGTTTATTCTGTTCTTGTCTATGTTTCAGAACTTTCATAATTTAAAAAAGTATACTGAAAAATTTAAACTTAAGAAAAAGCAGTATGACAATATATTTCTTCAAAGAACTTTCCCCTTCCTATTATAGCCTGTAGAGTTGTTGATCTTGTTTTTAAATCAGCCAGTCTGCCTGCCTTATTCCTTCTTTCCAGACTAAAAATGCACAGAATTTGAATAAAATAAAGGATATCTTTAAGTGTATCATGAAGGTAAAATACTTTGTCATTAAAAAGAATTTTCAAAACTGAGCGGATCCTAAAATCTATACTCAACCCAGCCTATTAATTTGCCCTGGTCTTATTCATATTCTCTCTCTGGCTCCATCTTTCAATTTAGGTTTGGAGAGTGCCTCATTTTTCTATGACTACATTCCACTAAAAAATACAAAGACTTATTTAATTATCTGATTAATCCAAATTTTCTAACTCAGAGTCCTCTCCCTACTCAAGTTCTAGAGCCTCTCTCTCTTCCAAACCAAAGAAAAATAAGACATATTTTCTATCAATTTCTATTAAAACCTAAGCTCCAAAAGAGGGCTTTAAAAAGTAAAAATCCAATTTGATTTTCAACTCAGATTCTTTTATTGAACATTCTTTAGTCTGACAAGATAAAGTTGGGCACAAAATGATGGGAATACATGAAACCTGAGTGAGGTCTTCCAGACCCACATTTACTTAAGTACTGAGGTAAGCCTATGGCATTCCAGTTACTTTCGTAAGTACTCAACTCCAAATTAGAACTAACCCTTTTTCTATCCTTCATTTCATCGGTTTCTTTTGGTATTTCTTTTTACTCATCATCCAGACCACCTGTTTCTTCTTTGCTCACTAAAGTGTCCAGCACGTCCAAGACCATAGTCATCCTGAGTCTTCATGTCACCCACATTCTCATTCACAGACTCACTTTTGTTCCCATTTATAATTTATTTCCTTTTCAACTCAGGAAAGCCTGTCCACAATCAGGAGTCCAGAAACCCTAACAGTTGAGGGTTTATATATTTATTTTCAAATCTTAACATTTTAAAGTTAAAGTTAAACAACAAAAAAAGCAGCACAAAGGTAAGAAAGAACAACTATATCTCATCAAAGCAAGCAGGGCTAATAAAATTTGTATAAAATATACGAGAGACAGAGAACACACAACACACACATCTCCCATGGAATACCAGGGATGAGTAAGAATGCTCTTCAACCTTGTCATATGCAAATCGTGATCACCTGGAAAACAATTTTGTCATTCCTAAGTCATAAAACATGTCCATCAATATTTTTACAACTAACAAATAGCCACTTAAATGCCTAAGTGTAAGGTAAGAATATAAGTCTTTTCACAAATAGTCTTTTATGAACAGGGTAGAGTTGGATAAAGTGGAAGAAAGGACTCGATGCTTTTAAATAACCCGGGGGGGGGGGAATTGGAGGCAAAAATAAATAACAGCTATTACTTCTATAATTAATTATGACAGCTTTTAAGCTCTCCAAACAAAAATATTTATTAGGGGAGGGAGAAAGCTAGAATGGTAGAAAATAAACAACCAAAGACTGAATAAAAAGTACTGAATTAAAGTCCCAAATTGAATAGCTCTGCCATTCACCAGCTACATGACTAAGTAAATCGCAAACGCTTTGGGTCTGGATTTCCTCATCTATACTATGGGTATAAGACCTGCTTTGCCTGTAAAATAAAATCAAATAATGCATGTGAAAGTGAATTAAACAAAAGTATGCAAATGAAAGTCATGCCCGCTTTCAGTATCCCATTAAAAAAGCATTATGCAGGAGATAAAATTGGCAGTTTTAACTTTATTTAATAGAACTGGTGGTTCATACCTGGTTATCTGGCATTAACGGATTGGTAATAATAAAATCTGATTAATTAATTATTATTATTATTATTTTTTTTTTTTGTCTTTTTTCGTGACCGGCAACGGATCACAAACCTCAGTGTCGCGCCCGTACCAGACCGGGACCGGCAACGGAATCGCAACCCTCGGTGTTGCATCCGCACCTCGCTCAGCCAGTGAGCGGCCGGTCTGTATGTGGGATCCGAACCCTCGGCGGGAGCGCCGCCGCACTCCCAAGTGGCGCACTGTAGCAGTGTGCCACCAGGCCGGCCCAAATCTGATTAATTTAGAGGCACATATACAACTGAGGAAAATGAAAGCTTAATAGAACTGATGGTTCATATCTGTTTATCTGGCATTAACGGATTGGTAATAATAAAATCTGATTAATTCAGAGGCACGCATACAACTGAGGAAAATGAAAGCAGGCGTATGATTACCAATCATCCATTAATATTAGTGATTAGTCCATCTTGTTTCTGCTGAAAGGCCACATAGATTTTAAAAACAACAAAAACGATGAAACTATTTTCCAGGATTAACTGTTGAGATGAAGGACAAGTGAAAGTAGATTTGAGAAGAAACTTTAGTGCCTCTAAAAGGATTTGTAGACTCCAAGTAAATGAAGAAGTTCTAAGTGGTGAGGTGATTCATTTACGAGCTATTTATCAACCAAATAAAACCTACGATTCTTCAACTTCTAGTCCTCACCTGGCACTCTAAGGCCTTAGTGGTTTCGTTTGACCCACAAAGGCTCATTTTACAGATGCTTCACAGAAACTTAACA